CGGACGCTTAACCGACTGCGCCACCCAGGCGCCCCCCAGATAAGGTTCTTTTAAAGAGTCATTGCTGAAAATAATGTTGGATCCTGCCTCGGGGTCCTGCCGGGGACACCCGGCTGCCCGGAGCCCTGGGAGGGGAAGTTTCGTATCAGGTCTCACCTGGCAGGAAGTGAGCCCCCAGTGGAAAATACACGAGCGTACCGGCCTCCGGTCTCCCCTCAGCCAACCTGAGCCAACGGAAGGAAGATCGGATGGCCCAGCCTGGCAGGACGAGGAGATTCCAGCCTCGGGGCCCAAGAACGGATTTCCTGTTGAGAGGAAGCTGAGTTAACCCAAGCTCTGATTCACCTTCCTTGAGATCTGGCATCGGGAAGAGCCCCGTGGAACCTCTGTCGCCAGCTGAGCCTCAGTCTCTCCTTCTGCAATATTGGTGGAAAATCTCCCCGCACATGCCCACACCTCCCTGTGCCGGAGATCATTTGTAGGAGAGGAAAGTAAGAGACCCGTCCCTGTAGTCGAGGGACCTCGCAAGTGCACGGGGGTTATGGGATGGCAGCACACAGGCCACCTGTAACATTTGCTGATCACCGCCAGGACGAGACTCGAGATTCGCGACAGCTAGCACCTACTGAGTGCTTACTGTGGGCGGGCGTTCTCCTGTGGCCTCCACACTGTTTTCACACAAGCCTACCAGGGGAATGCCTTATCGTCCCCATCTTGCCAGTGAGGCTTACAGAGGCTGGAAGATATGCCTGGGCGCTGGCTAATACAAGACAGAGTTGGGGTACGACCTCCCCTCACTGCCTGTACAGGAGCCCAAGGGGAACCTTGGCCCCTGTTTCAGAGCACTTATACTCTAGTGGGCGTACCATACCCCCTGAGTCACCGCGGGCTCTCTCAGTGGGCGAGGCCAGGGCACGTACGTCGAAAGATGAACAACTACACAGGCCTGTATATGCTCAGTGCCAGTGCAGGGTCATTGGGGTTCTAGAGGAGAATGGTCCTTGTGGCCAGGGTACGTCCCTGGCAGGGAGCATCATGACAGATCCAGACCACTTCTGAGTGGGGCCTGCTAATTTCGCACTGGGAGCAGTTAGCCAAGGCACAGAGCTGAGTGAGAGCAGGGGGACACCTTGGGTGCAGCTGGGTCAGAGCACAGGGTTCCAGCAGCCAGATTGGCAGGGGAATCCCATCCTGCCCTGTGGCCCCTCTCCCTCCTCCCTCTGCTCCCCTCCAGCCTCCCCCACGCACGCAATGAGTGAGTAACAGGAAGGAGCCATTGGCCTGCTGGTAATGCCATTAGTAACCCCGAGGGGAAAGGGGAAGTGGAGGGGGGAAGGGAAAGGTGAGCCATCCCAGCTCCCCCAGGCCGGAAGTTGGCAACAGCTGCAGCCAGCTTGGGCTGCGTCTGCCCTTAACCCCGTCCCATGCCCACTACCTCAATCTGAGATGGGATGGCCAGGGGCCTGGCCGATTAGAAGCACTGGGGGGCATTTTGAGGAGCACCAGTTTCTGGGCACCGCCCCCCTCCCCCCACCCAACCTACTGACCAAGAATATGAGAAAGACTCTGGGATCTGTACTTGTAAAAAGTTCACCCCCTCCCCTATTATGGCCTGGTCAGGTAGTTCTAGAGGCTGTGACCCACCCTGATCAGGGTGACGCGGGTGCCACGGAGGGGCGGCACCAGCCTTGAAAGAGCCAGGCACCAAAAACAGGGTGCTGTTTCTTTCAAGGTGAAGTTCTGTACTTTTTAAACAGTTCTGGTTTGAAAAGACTTTTTAGTGGTTCACCATGTGAATTTTCCAGGGGGCTCTGGAACATCTGGGGTGTGCCCTTTCGAGTCACGGGTTTAAATGGGAAAGATAAAAATTCCT